TGCTACTTATCTATATATACATATATATATATAGTAACTAAGGGATAATATAAATGCTATATCATTTTAAAAGTTTCCCTTAAATAATTAAAGTCCCTTCTCGGTTTTAAGGAGGGCCCATGAAGCAAAACTGGTGTTGAATATGTTAATTGAATACAATGAAAGAATTTAAACAGTATTTATTGCGATGCGTTATACATTAGTCCAACGCTCATGAATTTTTTTTTTCTTCATTAAATGCAATGGTTGTTCTCAGTCAATAAAAGCAACTTATTAGGCGTTCAATATTCAGATGTGTCTATGAACGAAGAATTAAATAAATTACACACCATTTCAGTAAAAATGATTAAATAGCAATTTATTTAACTATTGCCTTACCATGTTCGACCAAAACAGTCAAATAACCATAAAAAAGATAGCATTCAAACTGTTAAGTGTGAGAAAAAAAGTTTATTGATTGTTCTTCCCTAATACTGTATAAAAATTTTATCGCGCCAATTAGGCCCACCTAATGAAGTCACTCAGTTTCTTGCAGATGGGTATATATTATAACCGAAAGGGGTAATTGGTCAATCATATGACAAGCTGAACAGTGGTTCGAATCCCAGGGTTGATACCGCGATATTTCTTCCATTTCTTGAACAAATGAGTGATTTATTTATTGTTTCTTACAAGATGGCAATGTCATACTTAAAGGTATGAACAATCTTATTACAAGACACTAAAATCCCCTTCTTTTTATTTTTTTGAACGTAGCAACAAAAAATGTGAAAATATATTAAACTTGGAAAGTTTCAAATTATAATTAAAGTCGAATTTCGGAAAAGGAAAGGTTGGGAAAAATTTCTTTGATGAGTCCTAGAAGTTAAAACTTTTGACAACAGAAGGAAAACACAAAAAATGATTGAAGAATATTCTTCTAAAAGTTTGAAAAAATAAATTAAACCGTAATTTTTGTTTTGTGTGAAGTTACATATTTTATTTAAATTTATTTCCTAAAATAGATTGCTACAATAAAAGGCAAAGTAAGTTCAAAGAACAAAGAGAGTATGCTGGGAATTTCTAACCTAAGTAATGGGAGAGAGGTTTGTAATTTTTTAAAATTTGTTTTGAAGGGGATTCAAAATTGCCGAAAACATGTCTACGAAATATTTGAACGGCTCGTTTTTAGATTTTGCTTTAGTTTAAAAATAAAGCCGTTTTAAGTTTCAGAAATAGATTTTTTTTTTAATTTGCTCTAAAATGCTTAAATTATTATGAAATTAATTCTATATACATGGTGATGTATGTAAAAAGTAAAATTCACAGTAAGAGACTCGAGTGCTTTCTTTGTTAAACTAATTGGGCCATAGATTTAAGTGCTTTTCTCTAAAGATTGTTGAGTGAATTACGTAGCTCTGTTCTTTATAACATTTCTACAGCGCAAATGTTTGAACAACAAATTCTCAAATAGTAACAATTTTTTTCAAAGAATAAAATAAAATAAATTGTAATAACCTTTCGACACCATTGATAGCAGTGAATGTTAATATTAAGTTATCACGAAGGACACTAGAGAGGAATGAGGGCAGTAAAAGGTGTATTGCTTTGAAGTGCGCATAAGAAATTTTAAAAACAGCTGTAGAGATTTTCATTTGCTAGGAAGAAGGTAACTTAGCCGGTGGTCGTACAGATACTGCTTTATAAAAATAAAAGGTTAAAGCTGTAAGAAGAAAACCATGTCCGTTCGTTTCTTTACTGTGTTGATTCCAGTAATAAACAAAAATATCTCTCAATTAAATCTTTTTTGCAGAATATTGCTCACTTAAACAGCAGAAAAATGTATTTCTATGAAAACATTTTTTTTTCGTAACATTAGAAAGCTAGTAACTTTTAACTCATTATAAACATACAATTTTTGCATATTTAATATTATAATTTTGACGATGACTTGGATGCCAGCATCGAATCGTGCTCACGACTAGCTGTCATCAAGACGAATTGTGCGCGATGAATTGTCCCACAACGAGTTGCGGATGACGATTTGACGCCATATGCCAGTTGAGGTTGGGATGAAAAGGATTGATGCGCTTTTCACTAGCTCGACAGCAGTATTGGTCATGCAAGAAGAAATAAAAGAATATTAACTGAGCAGCTGTATATCAATTAATTCCATTTCTTCGGGAGAAATGATGAGAACGATGGCTATGGATAGTTCATCGTCGATTTCTTGGATCTTTGGAGCTAGAATCAAAGATCAACGGTATTTCGAATTGTTGACAAAGTTAAGAAATGCAATCAAATCGAAAAATCCGATAAACTTTTAAATAGATACATTCTGCTAACCGACAACACTCGACCACCCACAGCCGAGGCAATATTCTAAATCGTTCATCTAGTTAACTTCCACATCTACAATAAGCTTTAAAAAACAAACCGGGAACAGCAGGCTCAAACAGACGACGAAATCAATTTTGTGCGTACGCAGCTAATCCAAACAGCAGCCATTTTTTTTCTTTTTGAGCATGGCATCGTGCGAACAAATATCTAAACAAATGCGAAAAACTTTTGACTTTCATTAAATTTTGTGACATACTTGATATTTTGCCCTATTTTCTCTTACCAGTTACTGGCTAAATATTTTTACATATCTATTTATACAGGTTTTCAACTTACCGGTTAATCATTGGTAGAATTTATATTGTTTAAGAAGTATATAACTGCTCTAAAAATATGTAATTAATTTTGCTTATAATTTTTTTTTCTTTCAGGTACTCAAAAATATAGTAGAGAAGTCTTCTCTTCGGAGAAACTAATTTAACGCACAATTCCTCTTTATCAACTTCCAAGACGGATCCGAAACTCCCACCCGGCGCCAAAATTTCGTTCTCAAGCTTTAAACAGAGTTTCGCCTCCACTACAAGTTACTTAAGGAGGCGATTCTCTTCTGGCGATCTTTCAGGTACGGAAAAATTTCCTTTGTTTTTAATGTACTGGGGGCTTAAAAAATGCTGATTTTTTAAATTTATTTTCATAATGAAATAAATTGTGCGAAGCTTACTTAAAAGTTATAGCAATGTATTTCTCGTTCATTAGAATAGAGGTGTAATTTCATATTTTTAAAATACGCTTATGTCCACAAATTAAGGATAATTCAGAATTACTTGGAAATTGAACTCTAAAGTAAAAATTTCCCCTGTAGAATTATCACACACATTTTGAAGAAAAATATACAGCTTACAGGTATTTGTATACAGAAAATTATCAGGTTACACAGATAGTACTCAATGACGAGAGTATAAAAGAGGAGCATATAAGGAAAGGTTGCTAAGAAGTGAAATTTCTGTAAGCCGCTCAGAGGACGCGTGCGGATGATTTTTAACGTGCTAGATAAGCCACCTGTAATATGAGAGCTGAAGTATTCGAAGAACTTTGAATTGCCACAGTGTAAACAGTAGGCTTTGGTACCGGTTCCAAGTCAATGGAAATTTTGGTAGACATAACAGTACAGGTCACCCCTAAGTTACAACGCCAAATGAAGAGTGGTATTTGGCAGTGACTGTTAAAAAGGAAGCAGACGGAGCACAGTATGTGACCCATCTCGCCAGGTATCTGCAGCCAAGGGTACCACAGTTTCAAGGCAAACTTTTAACAGATGTTTGGGAAATATTGCTCTATATTTTCGCAAGACTGTCAAATGTGCTCAGCTCATGGCAACTCACTGTCGCTAGCGATTTGCCTGGAGTATAGAACATACAATGCGGAACATCGTTACAGTAAGCTTGCGTGATGTTTTCCGACGAGCCCATGTTTAGCTTGCAGACCGATTAACTTCGAACTTTCATATAGAGAACGCCAGGTATACGTTACCACCAAGACAACGTCAATGAACAACACTGTTATGGTGGTGCATGATTTCTCGCTTGTGGTAGAATTATACTGGGCTCCATAAAAAATCTGCATGCTGAAATTAGAATCATGACAGGCCAAATTTATAAGGATATCATTCTGGAACAATATATAAGTTTATATAAGGTTGCCATGGGCACAGAGTTTGTGTTTATGGATGACAACGTCTTTCCTTACCGAAGAAACATCGCAAATGAATACCTTTCAATCTGTTTGGAATAGACAGCGTTCTCACCTGACTTGAATCCAATAACACATGCTTAGACGACGAGTTGCATCCGGTCAACCATATCCTATATGTGTTCCGGAATTTTGGAGAGCGCTCTTTGCTGAGTGGAGTAATCATTCCTAAGACCAACTAGATAATTTGGTACTCAGCATTGTACGAAATGTATTTCATTGCATGGGAGACGTACAATGTATTAAACATCAAACTAACTACGTGATATTAAGTTTTTATTAAAGAGATATTTTTGATAATTGGCTTCAGGGAGAAAAAAACGTAGTTTTTAGGAATGGTATCATACATGCACTATCTTTTTTTGCTACGTATCGTTTGTTTAATAAATAGACTGTATGATTAAGTCAGGTTTGTTTTGTATCTGAAACTTTATTTGACGGAGCTGGTATTATATTCAATTTATGGAAATGAGTGTAAGTATTTTCTTCATTAAAAATATCACATTCAGTCATATCTTTCATTATAAAAGTGAAGAAACACGAATAATTGAATAATTGCATGAAAATCCTCTAGTTGCATTCTATGAATGAATATTTTATTTGTCTTCTTACAAATAATAAATTAGGAAAAAATCTCAATATTTTTAGACGACAAAAATGTAATATATGTAATTAATGTTTTTTCTTCACAAATTATTTTCGGAAAAATGATTTTTATTATTATGTGCAGCAATTTGTACTATTGGTTCTATAAAAATAGTCACAACAGCACAAGTCAAAACAAGGTTGAAATATCGAAATTTGAATATTTAAAAACTCATCAAAATAACAATTTTAACCAGCATTTTTTTAGATCACAGCTATGAAACTAAAACTTTAAAAAAAAAAGAAAAAAATTTTTTTTCCTTAAGTTTTTTTACTTAGCACTAAATTGGGCTTTAAATGGGCTAAATTGGGCACTAAGTTAAACTTTAACACTAAATTGAGCTTATACACTTATAATAGAAAAGATCATACACATTCACACCATTTGCGAATTATTTTCGCTACTTTAAACATCAATTTTGGCGTGCTTCGGATATTGTCAGTAGACTGTTGTCTTCGACACTGCTATACATCTACTGTAACAAAAGTTTGCTGTTAAGAAGTGCATGTATGTTTTTAGTTGCGTAATAAGGATAATGATATTTTAATATTTATTTATTTGTCAACTGTAATTAGATTATTTTACTATACATAATTTGAACCCACTTCTATTCTGTTACGCCTAATTCAAAATCTTCTTAATATTATCCCTGTGTTCTTAGTAGGTTTGATTTGCAATCTAGTATTATTTTAAAAATTAGCTTAGTTCATCTTAATATAGTGTGGAGCACTCATCTATAGTGTATAGTGAATCCCAATTTAATGATTCATAATTAAAAAGGTATATTGAATTAATTTGTGTATCATATCGCATCATTACAACAAATTTTAGTGTTACTGAACCCTAAAAATAGTGATAACTCATTAAAATCGAAAGTACTGTTCAGTAAGAAATTTGGTGCAAAGTAGTTGCCGTAATTTTTGGTGTTGTGATTTTAATATTGATTTTTTTGGTGTTGTGTTGTGAATACTTTTCACGATTTATTCCAGACTTGTTAGAAAGTGACGTATAAAATATTTTCGAAATCCGTAAAGCAAACTAAGTCTAAACTGGTTATTTTATGTGATCTTTCAGGTGAGCTCGGGGATGATCAGGAACGGATCGAGCAGACTGAAGATGGTGTACCAATTCAACAATCTCAAGAACCGGATCTTGCCCTTCATGTCCGGCAAGGAACTACTATTAGTGCTCCAACGTCACCTTCCAAAAATGTGCCAGCTTTCCAACAGAGAGCTAATTCTGTGACAGCCGGTTCCTTAGTAAAAGCTCCATCAGCCAAAGATAAACATAAAACACTTTTAGTTATTGATGATCAGCATACTGATTGGTGAGTTTAAATCCTCTATAAACAGGCCATTGATTGATAAATAGGTTTTTTTTAACTAAATATTAAATTAAGAACTAATATGGGCTTAATCATTCCGCGATTATGAATTTTTGAATGAAAGAAAACTAATGACATTCATTAAAAATTTTCTGTTAAATTGGAGTTTAAATTTTCCGAAATATAAATTTATTTCTTATTTTCTTTTCTTACAGTAAGGATGGAATAGTAAATCAGAAAAGATAGACCGTTCAAATTAAATACCCGACCTTTTTTTTTTGTAAAGACTAATCTAGCATTAATATTAAGAAAAATTTTGATTTTCCTTTCTTAGTTCACAAACAGAAACTGAGAAAAAATCTTTGTTTTTATCTGAAAAAAATTCAAAATTTTCTTAAACTTCAATGGAAAAATTTGAGAAAGTATTATATGCTAAAAATTAGATTATATGCATCGATAAGCGAATGGAAATCGGAGACAATCCATTATGTAAATTAAAATAGCTCGAAGTAAAGTAAACTACATACCGTTAGAACGTACAACATAACTAATGATTATTTATGTCCTCATACCTCAAAAGCCTTTGATTTCTAAACATTTTATTCACTGAATATTTTGATAAATATCAAAATCTCACCAAGCTCTTACCTAATTGCACTTTAATTCAAAACCTGGGGAGAGTTATTAATTTAAAAGCTTTAAGTAGCTACAACGATTTGATAAGACTTACAAAATGAAAATATCCATTTTATATACGTTGAAATAAATTGTTTGATGATAGCCACATTATTACTCTTAATTTGAATTTTTTAAGATATATATATATATAGCACTCAATTTAACCAAAACTTCATTTTGAAGAAAATATAATGTTAACTGCGTTGTTTTCCCCTCCCAAACCAATGATGAATGATTAATAAATATCTTATTTAAACCGTTGAATCGTTATTGATACTGTGAAGATAATTTTAAATAAATTCGCTAACATTTTAGACAATGATTTCATCGTATAGATTGCTACACAAAAAGAAATAACTGGTTACCAATCCAGAAAAAAAAACTGAATTAACCATAATATATATATATATATATATGAGTTCAAAATGAAGAATAAAACAAAGAAAAATTATAGACATATAAAAAGAAAGGGGGGTGAATAATAAGTAAAAAAATAACATACAACNTAGGATTACATGACATATATATATATATATATATATACGTTTACAAATGTTAATTTACATACTACGAACTGTTTTTAATATGCCAATTTAATTATTGTATGCAGCTGATAATTTGTGTTCACTTTTTTAAATTTATGCTAAATTTTAGCGTAGTCTCTAAAGTGTTTATTAAAAAATATAAATTTTGAATAAAAAAATATATTTTAAGGTAATAAAGTTCAAATAGTTTTTCCTGCAAACTATAATTTATAGATTTAAGTTATAGTTTTGAACTGAAACTATTTCTAGGAGCCTTTATGAAGCGTGGAAAGTATTATTATGTTTTTGTATGCAAATATAATGCATTTCAAACTAAACTGGTAAATGCTCGCAAATATTTTTAATAAATGATGAACTGTGTGCAATGAAATTGTAGATTTTTATTCCAGCTAAAAATTACTTTTATCTGCCTAAAAGAAGCAGAAATACTCTCTCTACATTTTCAAAGCGGTGGAAAAGATTTGGAAACCGGTGGAAAAACAAGGAAAATATGGAAATCGATTTCTATTTTTTTTTATTTTTACAATACTGGTAGTCACTTTCCAAAAAATCAATAGTCTCATTGTAAAATAAGTTATCGAAGTTTTAAACTGTCAAATCTTGTATCGAACTTTTGTTGTTGTTGTTGAATTCTTGTAAAAACATTGAAATTCAATAAACGCTGAGCATTTTTCGATTGTAAACAAACAACTGGTGAGTTATTTTGCAAGTAACCTTCAAACAACGTTTAGTATTTGCAGCACGAATAAAAATTCAATTAACACTAGGATTCTTTTGAATAAATAATTCTTTTGATAATTGAATTTTAGTTTTGAATACTGAGTTTATACCTTCATAATTGATACATTTTAAGGAAAACGCATTTTATGACATTTTCATCATTTGAATATATTATTATCAGGAAGAGAAGTAACAAACCAAAATTGTTTTTAAGATCTTTTTAGATGCATTTAAAACTAAGTAATATAATTACAGTATGACTAGTATTGAACTTGGACAAAAAGTAAGACCAAATATTTTTATCTCACACTAATTTTGCAAGACGTTATAATTCACAAAAGTTCAATGAAAATTCAAAATTGATCATAATTAAAGGCACTCAAGAATTTTATGGTTTTCTTACTGCATAAGAAGAGCCACTTTATTCATCACACTTGAACCCGATGAATTTTTCTGATTAGACTATCTCAGAGACAAGAATTTGTGCTGAACCTCATATTTTAGAATCCCTAAAATAATTCATTTGCGAGGAATAAGATCAGTAAATGTGCTGTGACTCATAGCAGAAAATTTTGCGAAATGTTTACATCAGCACTGCATAAGAGCAAAATGAAAAGTTATAAACATGTTGTAGGTTGTAACATTTCAATGTAAGAAACATATCTTTTAATTCGATGAAATACAAAATAAAAACAACAAGCAAGGAAACACTAAAGTAATAAATTGAACGAGTCACTTTTGAATCTCTAGGATCATGTCAAGTGTTCAGAGAAATGAATTCATATATTTTGTAAAATAATGAAAGAAAAATAAAGAGAAAAATGAGCTAAAACTATGAAAAAGTGAAACTTCAAAAAGATAAAGAGTGTAAAGTATTACTATGATAAAATATCTTCAACTATAAGTAAAGAAACAGTTAGTTTTTTCAGGAATTTTTAAAATTATTTAAACTATTAGCGTTTTGAATTTCGGCAAGGAGAAAATTAAGGCATTTTGGTGATAAATACAGAAAACTTTTACGAAAAATGTCGTTAGGATTTGGTACGAAATAAATCTCTTTAGATCACTTCTTTTAGTCATTTCTTCTACTAGTCATTTCCTTTTTATTATAAACGTTAGGTTTTTCAAAAAAATGTAGACATAGTTTGTAAAAAAAAATACCTATTGGTAATATGTTGAGTAACTGGTACACTGTAAAAAATGACTGAAAATATGTTTTCTGAAATGAATGTTCGTATTTCTGAACACTAAAAATGGTGGCAACAATTTGACACCAAAGTAGTGCTTCACTGAGTGTTTTATTACACTAAGAACCAAGATGATTTCTGGAGTAGCGAAATGCCTAGAATGTGTTCACTGCTTTTGGTGTTAAGACATACCCTGAAATTAAAAATTATATAGATATATATATAAATAAATACAAGAAAACACGAAGAAAGTTAAGAAAAACATAAAGTTTCATTTATTGCGCTTAAGTTTGCAATTAAACAGAACTCATTAGATAAGTTCAAAATGAAGAAAAAAACAAAGAAAAATTATAGACATATGAAGAAAAAAAAAGAGGGGGGGGGGGAATAATAAGTAAAAAAATAACAAACAACAGTTTAAAAAAAAAAAGGGATGAAATTTTATCTCAAAAACCGGAAAAAAAATATAATCTTTTCTTCAGCCCACACGATTATATCCGCAAAACAGAGTGCTTTCTGATATTGTATCGATAAAGCCGAAGCAAAATATATTAATACAATAGTGTGAGGAGTACTCAAAAAAATTTTTTATAGAAATAACAACAAATAAAATAGATCACAAAAAGTAAAAATAACATGTAAAAACAGAAAATGAAATAAAATAAAAAGAAAAAACATTAAAAAGGGGACTATAAAGCGAGTAGCAAAATCAGATCAACTTACATGGACAGAAAATTTTTCAAGAATGATTTAAAAATGTTTTCNAGTTTGTTCATTTTTTACTTAGTAAAAATTTAATAAATTTGTCTCGAACACTAAGTAGTTTATTTTTGTTAGTTAAATAATCCCTTCCCCAAGCAGATACGCCATAATAAATATGCATAGTATAAAGTTAGTTGCTTTAAATTTGAAATCATAGAATATGCTCAAGATAAATCTTAAAAAGCATAAATATTTTCAAGCTTAGCTGAAAATTTTGCAGTGATATTTGAATAACCATTAAAATAAAACTGTCTTGTGTCCAAATTATTTCTTGGCACCATGCAATGTAGGGAAAAATTTAAAAAAATATAGTCACTGGCCTAGGCCGTTTTTAACAGTGGATACTTTTAAAACATGTGTCCATTTCCTAAAATAATTAAAACCTTTTAACGAAAAGAAATTAATAAGATTTAAATTTTTCCCTTGTAACATTTCTAAAAATCTGGCAAGCATTAAAAAATTCAGTTTCTTTACATAGGAATTAAATGCATAACAAAATCTACAAAAGCAACTTTCTTAAAAAGTAATCATTTGTATAAGATTTTTTAAGTTCGAGATTACACCTTTAAAATCATTATTTTCTTAATCTATATTATTTTCACTTTCGCTTCTAAACTCTAGTTACAGTTATACAAGAAAGAGTAAGTATTAGTTTCTTTTGTATTATTTATAACACATCTGATTATATATATGCACTTTAGAGTGAGTCAGAAAAGAAACTTTTTCAAGGGTTTAATTTTATTAATACTAATCGAATAATATAGATTTTGAATTACGAAATCACACAGAAGAACCTTCTTTTTCTGAAATAACATATTTTTTTCGATGGATTCAGATTATTGACCTTAGCTGCAATATAGGGAATAGCTGCAATCTGGAAAAATATGGTTCCAAATGTTAATACTGAAGTTAGGACCTCTAAAGTTTGGAGTCTTTAATGTTAATTTAACTTTCTGTTCTCAGTCTCTTGGTAAGTTTTAAAGCGGATGAAAAATTTGGCACACAATTATAAAATTTGTTTAGACAAAAAATTTTTCTTGAACAAATTTTTTTTAAAAATAATTTTTAGTTAAGGATAAAGCCCCAAAATTTTGTGACCAACCGCATTAAT